TCACCCGACCCGACCCGACCCGAATATATGAATTAGAAACCCGACCCGAAATAATAAAAAAATTATTCAATAAAAATAGTGATTTAATTGGAAAAAAATTATATATAGAGGGGTATTATTGTAATTATTCCTAAATATATAAGATAAAATTATATATTTTTTGGGTCAGGTCGGGTTGGGTATTTTTCACCCTAAACCCGAACTTGACCCGACCAGAATATCACACTTAAAAAAACCGACCGACTCGATCAAAATAAAGTTTCACCCTACCCGACCCGAATATATGTATTAGAAACCCGACCCGACCAGACCCGAAATAATAAAAAAATATTTTTATTCAATATATAAATAAATTACCAAAAGATTGATGAGGGTAGTATGGTCAAATTTCAATTCCCTCCAACAAGGGAATTGAATCTTATCATAGAATGAATGAAATTCAATTTCCCTCATTTGATGGAAATTTGAAGTCATGAGGGATTCCTATTCCCTTTGAAAACCTGAACCAAACATAGGAAAGTGGTAGAATTAGATTCTAATTCTCACTAATTCTAAGATATTCCTGCTAACTAAACTCCACCTTAAATAAATTGAATTCATAGGTTGCTATGGGGTTTAGGGTTACTGTTTTTTGTTATTAGGCTGGGGATAGGGAAGGTCACTCCCCCTATATTATGTCTCCCTAGCGACTGGTACCCACCATCCCCACCCCCAAAAAAAATAAAAGGCCAAATAAGATTTTTTTACAACGGGTATATTACACTTTTAGTCACCCCATTAATTCTCATATTGAAAGACATCACCTTTAATTATCCATTGGGCTTAAACTAGCTTGGGTCAACTCCTAATTGTTAACTCGAGATTTTGGACCATTACGTGTAAATTTAGTTATGGTACAGATTTTTATATAACAAAATGTAAAATATAGAAAGTTGATCAAACCTGTTGTGCGCTCATTAATATTTGGTGTAGAAAATTGGAAGAGAATTTGAATTTTATTATTACTCGAATAAAAAAATAATTCAACAAGTAAATTCTACACTAATATCGTAAACTATTACTTCAATACTGTAAGAGCTAAAATCAATCAGAAAAACAAAATTGATACAGTTAAAACTAATACATGACATAGATAGGTGGATAGTTGGACAAGAATCTATTTGACTTGAAATAACTAACAAGTTGGAGTCCAATCCAATCCACCCCAAATACCATGAATCTTTCATTCATGGAAGATGATTATTTGCAGTGACACTGCCCCCACACAGCTGCCTCCATGTGACCCTCAATTTACTCTTATTATTTTGCTCTATCTTTCTTGGATTGAGGCATTTATATACCATGGTCCCATCAATGGTTGAAACGCCTACATATAGATTTTGTAAAGAGTATAACATGATATGATGATGGACGTTGACAGAGGAAACACCCAAGAATTTGGACCAATATATAATCTAGGATAAACTACACATTTAGTATTTCAACTATCACTTTTGTTCCGTTTTGGTCATCCAATTATTTTAAAAAAAAATTCTACCTAACGTTACATTTTGGTTTTATTTTGATCATCCGTCGTTAAAAATTAATAGAACTATTGATGTGGTATTTAAAAATATCAATGATGATGTGGCATTACCTTGTGGTTACATGTCACTATTACCGTTAATTTTCTAACAGAATGTGACCAAAATGAAACTAAAATGTAAGGTTAGGTATGATTTTGAAACAAAAAATAGTTAGGTAACCAAAACAGAACAAATATGATAGTTGGGAAACTAAAGTTGTAATTTACCCTATAACCTATCATCAAATATATGGTTAAACCATGAGTTTAGTACCTCAACTATCACTGTTGTTTCATTTTGGTCATTCAACTATTTTTTTCTCAAAATCATTCTCAACATTACGTTTTGGTTTTATTTTAGTCGCTCACCTTTACAAATTAACAGAATTGCTGACATGATATTTTTTGTATTTTTTAATGATGACGTGACTTTACCTTATGATAACATGTCGACATCACCATTAACTTTTTTAATCATGAGTGAACAAAATGAAACTAAAATGTAATGTTAGGTATGATTTTGAAAAAGAAAATAGTTGAGTGACCAAAATGAAACAAAGTGATAGTTGAAATACTAAAATTATAATTTACCCAGTATACATTGTCTTTTTGTCTATAAGAGAAAATAGTCAAGAAAATAATGATAGAGTTTATTTTAACCCTACTACGTACCTACCTAGTAAAAAAAAAGCAGCTCGATCAAGAAGGTTCCCTTGCAAACTTCCAACCCAGAAAACAAAACAACAGAAAGAAAAGAGAAAAGCTTGAGGTTCAAGCATTTCTTCATTTTTGTTTTCCTATATCTTCTCTTCACCGTGTTTTAAAAGTGTTACATTATTGCACGAATCGAACGGTTTTAGTAGTTAAGAGATTGATATTATTCTTTGAGATTTCATATTCAAGCACTACATATACAAGAATTTACGAATGTTGATTATTAAATAGTTGAAAATCTTTAAATATATGTACCTTATATTCATCCCAAATTATTTTAAAAGGGAAGTGTTACACTATCTCATGATCTCATCCACTTTACTACGTGTCATCTTTCGAATACTACATGATCAAATTTATCAATCACTTTTTAAAGATAACTTTGTTATTTCTCTCGTTTTATATAATTTTATGCGTGGCCAAATTTATCTTTTAAAATTATGTGCTTAATCAACATAGAACAAAAGTAATTGAACAAAAAAGTATTAATTTGAAAAGAATTTTATTCCAATGAATTACTTCTTTAAAAGTAAGTTTGATTTTATAAGAAATAGAGAAAAGAGATGGTTCGAGATTACACATAGACCTAATATCAATCAAGATTATATTTGAAAGTAGACAATATTTTACTTTATTAAAAATAATTTTAAAAAAATGTGTGAAGAATCTAAAATGTGCTAAAAATATACTCTAATTGTTAAGCTAACTTGACTAAAATTTACCACATTTAATTTTCTTGGATCTTCTAAAAAAAATTAACTAAAATAAAAAAACACTGCACTAGCCTTTCAAGCCTAGTTCTTGTGCATGTAAGTTCAACATAATAGTTTGACACATATACGCATAATAACGTATAATGACTTATATAAACAAGAGTTTCGTAATTTGGGATTTGATTCTTTTAAAATATATTAATTTTTGAAACACAAATCTCCCATATAATATATTTGTTAGATGTTGAATCAAATTTTAATTAGAAATTAAGTTTAGTTTTGTTATAATTCTACTGGTTGAAGATTACTTAGTGATTAAATTTATTTAATTAAAAATTCTTATGATATAAGAGTTATTGGTGACTAATTATAAATAGAGAATATTTATTAGTTTTTAGAATTATGAGATATAATTATAAAGATGTAATATTCTTGTAGCCTCTGTAACTTTTGGGGTCGAGATGAGTTTTGTAGGGATATTGGGAGAGTGTTTTGGGATACATTAGGTTTTGATATATATATATATATATATTTGGTGACTAATTATAAATAGAGAATATTTATTAGTTTTTAGAATTATGAGATATAATTATAAAGATGTAATATTCTTGTAGCCTCTGTAACTTTTGGGGTCGAGATGAGTTTTGTAGGGATATTGGGAGAGTGTTTTGGGATACATTAGGTTTTGATATATATATATATATAATATATATATATATCAGGTTTTGAAATACGTGAGATATCATATATTTGTACTCATTGTAATTTCTACGTTTATAGTGGATTATTGGTCTTCTCATCCAATGAGATAGACAAGACTGAATTACATTAAATATTGCCTCTTACAGATGCCTTATTCTTATGTTGATCTCGTTTTAGTTATTTACCCCTCATAAACTTCTAATAAGTGGTATTAGAGTTATGGTTCAAGTTATGAAATTTCAAAGGAATTTGTTGAAGTCGATTTTGTTGGTGATATTAGAGACATGCAAGAGAAATTCTTGTTGCAATGAGTTTTCAGTTGCAGAGAAGTAATTCTTAATCGATTTAATTGTACCTCAATTGATATTACATAAGAACTGAAGTTGTTGAAGATTTGATAGTGAAGCTTCCACAAATATTTATAACTATATAAATAGATAATATGTCTATCCTTTATAATTATGAGATAATTATTTTGAAAATATGTAATACTTTTGCATAGATGATTTTGTAAAGATATTAGAAGATTGTTTTGAGATACACTAAATTTTGAAATACAAGAGATATTATGTATTTGTACTCTTTGCGATCTCTATGTTTATAGTAGATTATCGTTATTTTCATCCATTGAAATAGAAGAAATTGAATCACATTAATTATTTTTCACTTCCAACTTTTTATAAAAATATCAATCAAACTAAAATATTATTGATAAAATTCAAAACAAAACTAAAACATTAAAAAAGAGTTGCTGTTCACCGTTCAAAAAAACTATTAAGAAACAAGTTTAATATATATATATATATTGAAAGAAAATGTAATAGAAGCAAAGGAATGACGAAAGGGAGGCTTGTCTTGATGCTAAGCGAGAAGATACGAAATAAGAGGAGGAGAGATGGGCGCTCAAAGGGTAAGGCTTACAGCTTGATCGGTGGCCCCCCAACGCTTCGCCTGCATCACGACATAAGCTTTAGCTGCTTCAACAGTGACGCCAATTCATCACCTTTTTCATCCTCAATTTACTCACATTTCCTTCTTTTTTTTACTTCAGATGATTATTTCTAGAGCTTAAAAGAAAGTTTTCAGAAAGAGAGAGATTGGTATTCATATGGGATAACTATATATGTTCTATGTATGTATTTGTTTAAGGCTTTATGCATATTGGATAACTTTTGATTGTTTTCTCTGTCTGATTATATAATTTGTTATTCGTATTTTTCTGGGTTTTATCTCTATTTCTTTTCCTTCTCCTTTTACCTTTGTTTTGGTTGGGTGGTTTCTGAATTCTAGTTCTGCTGGTGTTGAAGGAAGAAGAAGAAGTGAAGAAGAAATAGCAAGCAAATAAGAATATTTATGATCTTCAAAGATGGCCACAACCACTTCGCCAACTGCTCCAACCACTGCACCTCAGAAGAAAAAGAGAAATCACCCTGGAACTTCATGCAAGTATCCCCTTTACATACATCTCATTTATGATTTTCTATTCAAACATTCAATAGAGAAGAGGGTTTACGTTCTTGTTCTTGTTTCTGATTATTATTTAACCCAATGAACCCTAATCTAAAACTTAATTTGTGATTTCTGAAAAGCAGATCCGGATGCGGAAGTGGTAGCACTGTCTCCCAAGACTCTAATGGAAACAAACAGGTTCACCTGTGAGGTATGCAACAAAGGGTTTCAAAGAGAGCAAAATCTACAGCTCCACAGAAGAAAACACAACCTGCCTTGGAAGCTCAAACAGAAGAGTACAAAAGAAGTGAAGAGGAAAGTTTATCTTTGCCCGGAGCCCACATGCGTCCACCACGACCCTTCCAAGGCGCTCGGCGACCTCACCGGCATCAAAAAGCATTACTTGAGAAAACACGGTGAGAAGAAATGGAAGTGCGAGAAATGTTCCAAGAGGTACGCCGTGCAATCCGATTGGAAAGCTCATTCGAAGACTTGTGGCACTAGGGAGTACAGATGTGATTGTGGCACTCTTTTCTCAAGGTAAACTAATCATTCAAATTGTCAGTGAAGGAATCTCATGTGAGTTTTCTATATGTCTACACCCTTTGTTGTCTCCCTTAGTGAAAGAGTTTTAAAAACATTCTTTTAATTGAATGAATGATAGACTACAGTTCTGGGGGTTTCTTCCACTTATGGCAAAGTAGAGTCCCAGAAATTAATAGGTTTCTATGGGAATTGTGGTTGTTTTGTTTACCCCGACTTCATTTATTAAACACCCATTCCTCAGAATGGAAATTCAACTTTGAATTCATTCATCATTTTGAGGTTAAACCAAGAGCTTTTGTCCCTTCTTATTCTTATTAAAGTCTTCAATGATATGAATTACATTCTGGTTTCTTGTTTCTGAAAACCCATATCCTTTCCTCTTTCTCTTTCTCCAAAAAAAAATGTTGTTTTCAGTTAAAATATTGAGTTAGTGCAAATGGTCAGACAATATCTTAAATAAAAAGGTCCTCTATCCCCATGCATTTGTTAACTGCAATGGCTAAATCATATCTCGTGATTTGATTAAAATAATCACTTTAATACTTCAACAAACGTTAGGGCCTTGTTATCCTAAAACATTATGCCATTATATTACTCCCACTTTTAACTTTATACCTTATTAATCAAAGTTGATTTTCCTGTGTTTCCTTTTTTCTTCTGCAGACGTGATAGTTTTATTACTCACCGAGCCTTTTGCGATGCACTGGCTCAAGAGAGTGGTAAGCACCCCACCAACTTAAGCACAATGGGCAGTCATCATCTCTTTGGAAGTAATCATCACATGAGTTTAGGTCCATTACAAGACCAGAACCAAGTTCAAGCATCAAGTAACCTGTTGCTGTTGGGAACTACTTCTTCTGGACCACCAAAGTTCGATAACCTTATCTCTCCATCGAATCCTTCTTCATTACAGAACATGCCATCATCATCTATGTTCTTCATGTCTGATGCTGCAAACCAAGGAGCCTATCTCAACGAGCCATTGCATGGGCTTATGCAACTCCCCGACCTTCATGGCAGTACTAACAATTTAGGCTTCTTTTCGAATAACAGCGCTGCGAGCAGTATAAGTACTGGTGAAATTGGTGGTGGTGGTCGAGGGCCGGCGGCGGCGATGTTCGCTTCTCTTTATAGCACTTCAATGCAACATGAGAACATTTGTCCGCACATGTCGGCCACTGCATTGCTTCAGAAAGCTGCGCAGACAGGTTCAACTACAAGCAACAGCAACACTTCCATTTTGCTAAGGGGAAGTGAAACTCTAAGATCATCACAGATGGAGGATGATGGCAATCTTCAAGGACTAATGAACTCTCTTGCAAAAGGCGACTCTTCGAATTTCGATGGCGGCGGGCAAAGTAACAACTTTGGAGGATTCAGTGGCGGTAATTCTAACTTTTGTAACTTTAACGAGGCGAAGTTGCAGCCAAATCTTGCGGCGGCTATGGGCGGCGGGACTGATAAACTGACCTTGGATTTTCTCGGCGTCGGAGGAATGGTAGGAAACATAGGTGGTGGAGGCTTTCCGCCGAGAGAACAACATAGGATCGATGTTAGTGCTTTGGATCCCGACATGAAATCATCAGCTCAAGCAAATGCTCAACAATTTGGTCGTGCAAACCTTGTCTGAGCACCTAGGCAGGCCAAGCTTTGTAGGGTTTATTATGTAGGTAATTAAAACTCTTTTTTTAGGGCATGAACTAGGGTTTCATTCATTATCTGTTTTAATGCCTACTCAAGCTTAGAGTTAATTAAGTTATTTCCTTTTTCATGATGATTCCATCATTGATATTTTTCATAAACTATTTAAACTTTTCTTAATTTATATTCTTTTTATCATTGAAATTATTTGATATACTCGTGAATATAATTTTTAAGAAGTTAGGAATAACAATTCCTTTAAGTAAAAAGAATATTAATATGAAGTCAAGCTTAATTATTTGAAGAGAAGAATATTATTGTCGACTACATTCCAACTCATTCGACAAGTGAATGATTATTTTATTTACTTGCTTGGTTCTTCAATAATTTATCATTTATTATGTTCCTTTAATTTTAATTATTTTAATTATTACTCATATCTGAGCAAGGAAATATTCTCTTCAATTTCTTTATAATTTCGATCTTTTTCGGCCACATAATACCTAATCCCACATTAATATTTGGAATTAATTAATAAATATAAAAAATAGGGACCCTATATGTACGTCTAAAATATATATTTAAACAAATTAAATTATTTTATTTCATTAGATATAAAATTTGATATAAGGGAGAAAATTCAATTATATATATATATATATATATATAATAGGGAAAATATATATTTGTTCCAAAGACACTCTATCATTTGATAATGAATGCTTAAATACCCTACATTCATTGATGTTTGAACTATGAACCTCTAGAGATAGCATTTCTCTTTAATTATCACATTATTTTTGTTGCGGAATACGGCTATTGGATAGAACAAAATCGCAACTGATAATTTGAGAAAATAAAAATGAAGATAAAGAAGACACAAATTTTACGAGGAAAACCCCTAAATAATATAGGGTAAAAATCACGGGCAATGATAGAAGAATTTCACTATGAGAAAATAGGAATTACAACTTTTCTCGATCTAACAAGGAGAAAACAATGATAATTCTCTCTTGAAAAAAAAAAGAAAAAATAACTCTTAAGAAAACTCTCTAAATTCTCTAGTATTGGGAGAAAGTTAGAATGCTTTGGGATGATTTTGAAGCTAAATGAGTTACGGTATTTATAGTTGAAGCTTAAGGACTAATCTTGTAAATACCCTAAAGTAAAGGGACTAATTGAGAAATTTTCCCTTGCCAATTTCAACAAAATTATGCTGCCTAATTTTAACAACCGCCCCATTTGTATTTTTTACTTTCAACAATCTCCTACTTGAAGATTTGATTGGAACAATCATATCTTCACATCATTTCTTCTACCTTGTACCATCATGTTGCTTATGTCTCTGACAGGCCACAAGAGGATCGACACCAAGTAAATTTATCAACATTGACCGGCTTTATCATGAAATCTGCTATGTTGTCTTTGATATGGATTTTCTGTATATCTACCGTCCCTTCTTCCACTTTTTCACGAATAAAATGGTACTAAACTCGTATGTGATTTGTTCTTTAATGAAATGATGGATTCCTTGCTAGATGCAAGACGTTTTGACTGTCACAAAATAGAGAGACATACTATTGATTGTGCCCAAGCTCCTCTAATAGCATATATAACCAAATTATTTCTTTATTGGCTTGTGTAGCTGCTACATATTCTGCCTTTGTCGTGGACGTAGCCACAACTGACTGCAATTTTGAAACTCAACTTACAGCTGCATCAGCAACTTTGAAACTCATCTTACAGCTGCATCAGCAACTTTGAACACAAATCCTAGTGGATTTGCTTTTATCCAAATCCCCTGCATAGTCAGAATCAACATACCCATTGATAAGTAAATTTGATCCTCCGTAACATAATGTAACATTTGAGGCCCCTTTGATGTATCTCATGATCCTTTTTACTATATTACAATGCTCTAATAGCATATATAACCAAATTATTTCTTTACTGGCTTGTGTAGCTGCTACATATTCTGCCTTTGTTGTGGACGTAGCCACAACTGACTGCAATTTTGAAACTCAGCTTACAGCTGCATCAGCAACTTTGAACACAAATCCTAGTAGATTTGCTTTTATCCAAATCCCCTGCATAGTCAGAATCAACATACCCATTGATAAGTAAATTTGATCCTCCGTAATATAATGTAACATTTGAGGTCCCTTTGATGTATCTCAAGATCCTTTTTACTATATTACAATGCTCTTTGCTTGGATTCGCCATGTATCGACTAACCACTCCCACTGATTGTGTAGTGTCTGGTCTTGTGCATATCATAACGAACATTAAAATTCTCACTGCTGATGCATACGGTACTCGAGACATCTTCATCCTCTCCTTTTCACGGCTAGGACTCATACTGGAGGATAATTTGAAGTTAATAGGAAGAGGAGTAGAAATTGGCTTACAATCTTGCATGTTGAATCGTGACAAGATCTTCTTCAAGTAATTTTTTGTGAAAGCTAAATCTTCATATTACTTCTGTCTCGATGAATTTGCATCCCTAGAATCTTGTTAGTTGATCCCAAATCCTTCATTTTAAATTCCCTAGCCAATTGTGCCTTCAATTCTTCAATATGATCATTGTTGGGTCAAGCAACCGATATGTCATCCATATACAATAGTAATATAACAAAATCGTTATCACCAAACCTCTTGAAATAAGTACAAGTGTATGCATTAATTCTGCTGTATCCAAGGCACATAATGAAGGAATCAAATCTCTTATACCAACACATCGGCGCCTACTTAGACTGTACAGAGATTTGTTCAACCTGCAAACCATGTTCTTCTTTTTGTCTTCTTCAAAACCTTCAGGCTGAAGCATATAAATCTCTTCTTCAAGATTTCCATGAAGAAAAGCTATTTTAACATCTAGTTGCTCTAGATGTAAGTTCAATATAGTACACATTGCCAAAACTACTCGAACTGTTGTTAGTCGAACCACAGGAGAAAAGATTTCATTGAAATCAATATCTTTTTTTGAGCATATCCTTTGACCACCAGTCTTGCATGATACCTCTTAACTTGATCGTCACCATTTCGTTTGATTTTGAAGACTCATTTGTTGCCAATTGGCTTCCTTCCTTGTGGTAGTGGCACAAGGTTCCATGTATTATTTTTATGAAGGACTTCAATTTCTTCTTGCATCGTCATCATCCATAGTGAAGCATCTGAGTTGTTTATTGCCTTCTGGAATGTTGATGACTCACCGTCCTCTGTTAAAAGGCAGTATGCAATATTTTCTTCTATAACATAATCTGAGTGTCAATTGGGACATCTTCTCACATGATCTGATTGACGAGTTGTTGGAGCTTCAGAACTCTCTGGTTCTTGTTCATCATGTGTTGGTTCTACTTCAGAAGAATCTCCTTGTTCAAACTTTTTTTCCACATGTATCTGTGTAGTCTCTGACTTTTCAGTGCTACTATATTATTCTTTTCTTTGTAGTTTATCCTCTACAAAGATAACATCCCTGCTGATGATCACTTTGCAGGCAGTGGGATCCCACAAGCGATACCCCTTTACACCATCAGCATACCCCAAGAATTTGCATTTCCTGGATTTTGGATCTAACTTTGAAATTTCTTGGGAGTTGTACATTATGTACACTATACTTCCAAATACATGGAGGTTTAAATAATCAGCTAGTTTACCAGTCCACATCTCCATTGGTGTCTTCAACTCTATTGCAGTTGATGGAGCTCGATTCACCAAATAACAAGTGATATTGACTGCTTCTGCCCAAAATGATTTTTCTAGGCCTGCAGCCCTCAACATTGCTCTTGTTCTTTCTAACAAGGTTATGTTCATCTGTTCTGCCACTCCATTTTGTTGAGGAGTGTTTACCACTGTGAACTGTCTTTTGATGCATTTTTCCTACAAAAGTCATCAAATTCTTCACTTGTGTATTCTCCTCCATTATCTGTTCTGAAACACTTGATCTAATTTCCAAAATCAAGTTCCACCCACGCTTTGAAGGTTTTGAAAGTTGAAAACACGTCTGACTTCTTCTTAATAGGGTACACCTAACATCTCCTAGAGTAGTCATCAATAAATGAGACAAAGTATTTTGCTCCGCCTAGGGATGTAACTGGTGCCTGGCATACGTCAGAATGAACCAATTCTAGAACACTTTTGCCTCTAGAATTTGACGTGTTGAATTTCAACCGGTGCTGCTTACTTGTTATGCAATGCTCAACAAAGTAAGTGATATCTTTGTTAAGCCTGGAAGTAGTTTTTTCTCCACAAGGACTTTCATTCCTTGTTCTGACATATGTCCAAGTTTCTGATGCCATAGCATTGCAGAATATGAACTACATGAGGCAACAGAGGCTTCTGCTTCTAGCAAAGTCTCTCCCTTCAACATGTACAAGTTTGTTGTTATCTTTTCGTCTTTCATCACCACAAGCGCTCCACGGAACACCTTCATGATACCTTTCTGTGTTTCAATATTGCTTGCAATATTATCCAACAATCCGTAGGATAATAAATTTTTCTTCAGGCCTTTCACGTTTCGCACACCTCGAACAACTTTAATTGTTCCATCATACATCTTCAATTTGATGGTTACAACGCCAATGATCTCTAAGGCATGATCATTGCAACTATACACAGATCCTCCTAAGACAGGTTTATAATGATGGAACCATTCTCTTTTTGAGGTCATGTGATATGTTGTTACTGAATCAATGAGCTGTATATCTACAAATCTCTTTCTACCTTCCATGGTGGTTGACGCTTCACAACATAGAGCATATCCATCATTTGAAGTGTTTGCGGTATTGCCTTGTGAATTGGAGTTTTTACCTAGACTCCAATAATCCTTCTTCAAGTGACCCTTATTTCCACAGTTGTAGCACTTTAAATTCTTTTTGTTTCTCGACTTTGATCTACCATGTTTGTGACTATTACTTTGGCCACGTTCTGTTGATATCCCTCTCATCGTTGTCAACGCTTCTGCTTGTTGCAGATTTACTTGTCTGTATTCCTTGTTCTTGCGCCGATTTTTTTCTTG